AGACTTGCAGAGGGGTGAGGGACCTCGCCAGCAGGCTCCTCCGTATGCACCAGGAGGCTGGGGTCCCCTCGGCCACCGCGGACTTGCAGAGGGGTGAGGGACCTCGCCAGCAGGCTCCTCCGTACGCACCAGGAGGCTGGGGTCCCCTCGGGGAGCTCTCCACAGAGGCGCAGGGCGAGGTGGGCGTCCTTGGGGAACACTGTAGTGCTTCTGCTCTTCGCGAGGCGGGGAGGGGAGGGGATGGCCCAGGCGCTGAGGCTTGACGGCTGCCGCGTGATCTGAGGGTTAAAGGGTGTCTGAGATGTAAATGGGCTCAGAGTGGAGGGTGTAGCAGTAGAGATGGACCTTGCCTGAATGACGGTCGCAGCAGGGAGGGTGGTATAAGAATTACTTGAGAACAACCCTGCGTTTTCCTAGACTTCTCATATGTGAATAGAAGCCTCATTATCTTGCCAGTGCAGGAGGCGATATTTATTCCCACCCAAACGGGCCTGCATGATCCACCACTCAGTGGGCCCGGGGGATTTCAGCACGGTCTCCATAGTGCTGCTTGCACAGGCTGCCCACACCCAGCAGAGGCTGTGTTCCGCATTTGGCAGCACATATATTTTGATACCATAACATCCGAGGACTTTAATTTCTCTGGTGTCCAATTCTACTGCACAGGAATCCCTGGAATTATGTTCTGGGCTTGTTAAAACACACTTAGATATTGCTGATTTATTTCAGCTTGTTTGTGCTCTGCCTTGGTTCACCTCTTCCCTTCGTCGCCTACATCGGCTGTTCTGTCTCTCAATTAGAGCATCGAACAGTCAGACCAAAGAATTTCCTCATCCGGGTCCAGCCTGACCAGTGCAGCGTAGAGCTCGTGAAGAAGAGTGTATGAAGTTTTGAGACCCTGGCGTTGCGTTGTGTGAAGTTGGCTCTGTTAATGTCAGTTGTAAGGGTCAAGCCGTAGGGTAGGCGTGTGTCCTAGTGCACATGGATGTCCCGGCTTGGGCCTGTGTCCCGGAGTCAGTGTCTGCAATGCCCACGTTTGCATTCAGAAGTCTCTCAGCCTGTATGTTGAATTGTACGGTCCCACTGCCCCTCAGGGGGAGCCGCAGAGAAACCATCCACTTGGGTGTCTCCAGAATTCCGTTCACAGAAAGTCAGTGTGGTTACAGCACACGGACAGACGCCGTCCCTGCCGCAGACGTCAACTCGCTCCACGTCTTTGTGAGGACAAATGGGCAAACATGTTGTTGGTTTACTGAGAGGTTTTTACTGCTGGAACAGGAAAGTGAAATTCCTTCCCTCTTGGGCGTTATAGATCCCTCAGCTAGTCTTGTCATATTCCAGTAAGGCACATGCCAAAAGCCAGGCCTCCGGTTCTTTTCTAAACAGACACAATCGTTACTTACCTGGAGAACTTGACATGGACTATTAAAAGTGAAAGGAATCTTGAAAGATATGCTAATACGTTTGGTTTATCTCCCGCCTCGGGAGATCCTCAGAGGCACAGGGAAGCCATGTGAGGGGCCGTGTCCCTGTGGCGGTTCGAGGCTGCGCCGTGCCTGGGTCAGATCTCGGTGTCGGCCAGGGTCCCGGGCACTCTCTGCGACACGCGTGCTCGTGGACAGCCAGAGCACCCTGTTCCCACCACTCTGCGAACAGAACAGGGTCCCACGACTTCACTGCAGGGGACATGTAGAAATCAGTCAGAAATTAACTCTTAGATTTCATGTGCTGATGAGGGCATGACAGGTATGTGCTGGGTGTTTGCGGGGATGGCGCGCAAATACATTACTCAAAACGTGTTCCTCCTGGGCTGTGGGATTATAGCCACGCTGGTCAGAATTGCAAACCTTGAATCCTTGATGTACCCCAGCCAGCAGGAAGCATGTTAGCCCTGAGCCCAGCCCTGTGCTTCAGAGAATGCTAGGTGTCCCAGCGATGGGCACGCTAGCCCTGGGGTTGGCATGCCCTCCCTTTTATGCCCTCCGACCCGTGTCCATCCTCACCGGCCCCCACTAACTCAGCCTCGTGGAAATCTGCGACGTCTTGACACCTGATCCAACAGAAGCAGCTTTTCCCGAAGGACAGTCCGTCTCCTCGCCAAGGTGCTGCCGCTGTTCGGTTGGGGTTCTTCCCCCACTGCGTGTCTAGAATGGGCCCTGGGAGGGAGGGAGGCATGTCCACTGCTCTCAGCGGTCCCTAGACCCATGCTGTCCAAACCTCTGGCCACCAGCCGCCTGAGCCCCTGGACTGCAGCTAGCCACATCGCGACGTGCCTCAGTGTAAAAAAACTGAGGGTTTTGGAGATCAAGTGTGAAAAAAGAAAAAGAATGTAAAATATCCTAGTATTTTTTTTTTCAGCTTTATTGAGGTGCAATTGGCTTGTAACACTGTATAAGTTTGTGTATGATGTGATGATATCAGAGTCAGGTATATTAAAAAATGACTACCATAATAGAGGTTGCTAACATCTTCATCCCCTGACATACTCATCTTATAACAGGGAGTCTGTATCCCGGGACCAGCATCTCCTCACCTCTCCCAGCCCCCACCTGCTGGCCACCACCAGGCAGGCTGTTCCTATGTTCGGCTTTTGTAGATTCCACGTATAAGTGAGATCATACAGTATCTGTCTTTCTCTGGCTTCACTTAGCACAATGCCCTTCAAGTCTGTCCGTGTTGTTGCAAATGGCAGGATTTCCTTTTTTCTCATGGGTGAGTAATATTCCATTTACATGCACTGTATATCACTCTTCATCCATTCACCCTGTGACAGACATATCTTTGGTTGCTTCCATATCTTGGCCACCGTGAATAGTGGCATAATGGACATGGACGTGCAGATTTCTCTTTGACATCCTGATTTTATTTATTTTGGCAGAGGTGGGATTGATGGATCATGTAGTAGTTAAATTCATACTGTTTACCAGAGTGACTGTACCAAGTTACATTCTCACCTACAGTGCACAAAGGTTCCCTTTTCTTCACACCCTCGGAAATACTTGTCATGTGTTCTTTTTTATAACCATTGTTCTAGCAGGTGCTAGCTCATGGTGGTTCTCGTTTGCATTTTCCTGGTGGTTGGTGGTGTTGAGCATCTTTTCATGTACCTGTTGGTCATTTGTATGTCTCCTTTGGAAAAATATCTATTCAGGCCCTTTGCCCATTTTTTTAATCAGATTGCTTATTTTTTTAGTTGTTCAATTGTATGAGTTTCTTATATATTTTTGGATATCAACCACTCATCGGATAAATGGTTTGCATTATTTTCTCCCATTCCATAGGCTGCCTTGTCATTTTATTGAGTGAATCTTCCCAAATATTGACATGCTGACCTCATTTCCTTGACTAACCCTCACACCTCCATTGTTCAGTTTACCTGCTTACTTATTACTCAGCCTGTGACACACCTAGACCTGTCTATTACAGGATCTGTGAACCCTCCTTACGCTCCTGCGTGTGTTAGACTCACTCTCTGTGTGCTGATGCCAACAGTTCTCCAGTTTCTCTGCCACTCTGGTTCACTGAGCAGCACCTCTCCCTATGCTCAGTCCTTGTTTTATTCTCATTCATTTAACAACCGCAGCGTGGGCAAAAACAGGTTTGTAGTCGCCTGTATGGAAAGTAACACAATACCTTTGGCCCCCACCCTGTGTCGGACACCCAGTATTTAGCACGCTGCAATCTTAACACGGGAAAGAACATCTTGGCCGTCCTGTTGCTTTTAGTCTAAGTAGGGTGACAAATAATAGGACAGGCTAAATAAGTAGAATGTTTGGCATGGTGTCAGATAATGAGGGTGTGTAGGAGAAGAGTTACATCTGGGATTGGGGATGTGAGCTGTGGGCAGGGAGGAGGGACATTTTCAGGGAGACAGCAGTGAAGGCTCAGCTACGCCAGCAGGAAGCTGGGAGAGAGCAAGGAGCCGGGTCAAGTGCCTCACTGGGATGTTGAGGCAGCGGGAGAATATAAAGTTTTAAACGTTGACATGCACAGAGTAATGTTAGCAACAAGTGCACAGGGCTTTGGATCCACACAGAAAGGCACGCTGGCATCCTGTAAGTAAATGGTCTGTTTCACACTGAGCGCTCTGTCCCGTGACGTTATTGTCCCGAAGACAAAAATCTGGACTCGTAGAACCCATGTAGATAGACAGGGTGGTGCTGTGCCCTCTCCTCTGTCGCTGTGGCCCGCAGACGCCCTCCTTACCGCCGAGCGGAAAAGTCCCCGCGGACTGCCCCGCCCGCCTGCGGCCTGCAGGATCCCCCGTGCTTTCAATCAGTCTCTCTAAATGCTTCCTGTAGGGAAAAGGAATAGTGATGAGGCGCAATCTCGCTGCTTCTGTATTCCGAAAAACTCAGTGACTGATTTACAGATAGTGCTTATTAATTGTGAGCTTCTTCCCCGTGGAGAAGATGGAGATTACATTTCAGCCATAAAGGTGCTGGGATCGCTCAAGGCTTCGAGTAGTCATGAAAAATGGAGAACCTACAGATTTCCACATGTGAACACAGATATGAGGTGCAGATAGTTAGGCAACTTGGCAGGTTCAGTTGAGAGACAGTACGGGCCCTCAGGTCCTCAGGCTACTTGAGTTCTCGTGGGTGGCACACCCGTCAAGCAAGGTCAGCATCCTGAGCTGGGTGTCGGGAGAGGTGCCCACGGGTGTGCGAGGTCGGGGAGATTGCACACGGGAGGAACACAGGAAAGAGTTTTGAAGGAAGAGTTGGCTCCTGTGCCAGGTGATCGGGCAGATGGGGAAGCTGGAAAATTTGTCCTTGAACGAATTGGTCCTGAAACCCGACTCCGCCACTTGCCAGTTCTGTGACCTTGGACAGGTGACTTTATTCCTTCATCTAAACCACCGAAATGATACCCACCATTTCTTTATGGCCTTTCCGATAAAAGTGGAAGATTAAAAGCTCTATTGAGGCGTTCGATGCCACTTCGTTATTTCAAATCCTCTCCGTGTGTGTGACGCCGGTCTCGCCTTCCTCGCGCAGGTGGACGTGATCGTGACGCTGGGAGGACTCGCGGGGCGTTTCGACCAGATCATGGCGTCCGTCAGCACCTTGTTCCAAGCGACCCGCATCACTCGTTCACCAGTGGTGATCATCCAAGGGGAGTCGCTCATCTACCTGCTCCAACCAGTAAGTGCAGAATGACCGTAACGTCAGCGCTTTGCTTCCTCTTGTCTTGCGCCCTTGAGTCGACTGGAGAGAACGTCCGCCCACGCACGACTCTGACCACGCGTGACTCGACCACGCTGGTTCCCCTGCGCCGCCGGGGTCTGTCGCCTCCAGTCCCCGAACAGGAAAGTTGTAGGGGAGACGCCTCCAGGTTTTTCTTCTATTGCACCCAGAAAAAAACACAAAACGCTGTAACTTCATTAAATTGACTAAGAATTAAAATTTAGCACTTTTGCATTTTGAGCAGCTGAATATGAGAAAAATCTCAAGAGAGGAAGTACAAACTTGGCAAGTAGTTTAAGTGGAATTCTCATATATTTTCAGTGTGGTCATTATCATTGGGCACCAGGCTTGATTTTATTAAGCTCACTTAAAAAATCTGTAACTTTTGCTATTCTTAGGTCATCTGCTTATTAATTTCACTGCCTCAAAAATAATCATTTGGTAACATTGTTTTACTGAGAGTGGGCAGTTTTTTTCCTTTTCTTTTTTGCCTCATTGTAATGTACTCCATCTGCAGTCATTACCTGCAACGTGCGTGGTCAGTCTGGTGGGCTTAATGTGTGCTCACTGCCCTTCAGCCACATTTCCACGTTTGTTGTTGTTCTTGGCGTCGTCTCTTGCTTTCTAGACCCCTTCCTTTGAGAGATGGAAGGTGAGCTGAGGAATGCAGTTTTCACACCCTGCACTGTCCACTTGTGTAGTCAGCGAACAGTTCTGGTGCGTCTGCTCCCTACCCATTGCACTGCGAGGCAGTCGAGGGTTAAAAAAAACAATGGTGACAGCATTGTCACTCTCCAGTACAGTTCAGTGAAGCAGACATTTATAAGACGCCAACATAAAGCAAGGTTGACACATTGCTGCATGAAGATGAGAAATCCTACGATTTGGTCCCGGCGTGGTAAGGAAGGCCTCACGGAGGCGCTCACCTTCCTCACTCCGTCTATGTGACGGATATGTACCGAGCACTTGCTATACGCCAGGCATCCTCCCGGGGTACAGCGGGTGGCTGAGCAGAGCCCCTGATTCCGTGGCACGTATGTTCTGTTGCGCTAACGTTGCAGCAGAATCTTCAAGGCCGAGTGATACTTGCTGTGCGAAATAATGGCCAAGAGACACGAGCTAGAAGGGGCCACAGAGAAAGACAGAGAGGACACGCGGCAGGACCTACAGCAGCGCGGGGATGCCCGGCATGAGACGAGAGAGCCAGTCGCATGCTGAGTGTGAGAGGCCTCGAATTCTGCACAGTGAGGTGTGACCTGCTCGCTGGCGGTGATGGGGAGTCATGAACAGACTGCTTTTGGTGGTCTGACGTGCTCAGATATGCTCCTCAGATTTGTAGTTATTTATTAAATACCTGTGATTTCCCAACCGCTTCTGAAGTTCGGCATTTTCTACCGTTCTGATGCCTGGAGCTTTCTTTACTGTGTTACGTTATGGCCGGTGTCAGTGCCGGAGCAGGTCCCTGCTCCCAGTCTCCTTAGCTAACAGTGCGGGACCGTCCTTTCAAAAAGTAACACTTGGAGATCAGCTGATAGAAAAACCCACTTCTCAACAATGGCGTCTACTCCTAAAGTCTTCTCATCTTGTTTTTGGTGTCTGTCTCTCCACTTCCATGTGAGTGATTGTCACTTCCTGCAGTGTGTTTGGTGTGGGAGTCCCTGGACCTCCTCCGTCTAAGATTTGCTGCCTGTCCTTGGTGTGGAAAACTGAGCCGTGAAGTTTCCCAACATTGTCTGTGCCTTCTTCTCTTTCTCATTCTGCAACGCCCATTACAGGAACACAAGAGCCTCCATCGTGTCCCAGAACTGAGTATCAGTGTACATCCCAGGACTTCTCCAAACTTCCTGTCGCAGTGTCCCTGGGCCCACCGAGGTTTCAGCTCCTGCCGAGACTGCGTGTACGCTTGCCCTTCACTCACGTTTCCAAGACTTTTCCTGAAAACATAATCGCCATACTCATTTTGTAGTGTAAAATAGCTCTAACATCTGTGGTCGTTATCAGTCAGCTGTCTTTTGTGTTCACTCTGGCTTTCATATTCTGCAACCTCCATTCCTTCTGTGTTTGTGATTGTTGTCCACGCCCTCGTATTTCTGGGAACTTTACTGTGGGAGTTATTTGAAGGGTGAGTTAAAGCGAGTCCACGGTGAATTGAGAATGGACTCCCAGCCCAGTTATTTGTAGGCATTAATAACTGAAGACATCTTGTTTGGGCCTTTTCTGGGCCGTTCTAGGCGGCGTGAGTTCTGAAGGGATTCTGCTGGGAGTTGGAACGCGGGTTACAAAGGCTCAGGGGAGATGTGTTCTCGGCTGTGGAGCCGCCTCGGTTCCGTGGGGCAGCTCTGCCAGCGCCGGGGAGCGTTATTTATAGCCGTCTGTCGGGAGAGCCCGGCTCCCCATGGTGCCATCCGCTCACACTCCCGGCTGGGGCAGCCTGGGCTTGGTCTCTGATGACTCTTCCCACTCGGGGCCCTGGAAACTGAAGGTCAAGCTCATCTGATCTGGGAAACACCAAATGTTTAAAACATGAAAGTGCCATTTGGTGTTCTTTTTCAGTGAAAACTTCGTTTTTTGCTTGTGAGTGTTCTCTTAAACAAAACAGATGTTTGATGCATTTTGAAAGAATCCTTTTAGTTTTTATTGTCTGTAGTTGGTCAGGGCACTGATCTAGCATACTGGCTCTGTGCGGCAGGTTCTCCCATCTGTGTTGCAGTAATGATGAGACTGCAGTCTCAGAGGCTTAACCAGGACTAGGTTTCGTTGTCGTTAGTGGAAAACGTGGTGTGCTGGCAGCGTCCTCCATCCGTACTGACGCCGGCTGGCACACGTGGCAGCGGATTGCCAGACTGTGGCTCCGCACCTGTCTGTAGGCCTGGCCGTGTCCTCTGTCGCCTTCGGCGGGAACACAGTGACACTGCCCCAGCCCAACGGCACGGCCGTGCGGGAGAGGAAACACGGGTGATCACAGGACACCGCTTCTCTCCAGCCGCCAGACACCGCGGTGTGTAACGTGGCTCACAGCCCTACCTGATTTCTAGGAACGCAATTGTTTGTGTTTATAAAATCCATGTGTTAAACTTTAGCTCTTAAAACAGAACCCTCTGGCCCTAGCCGGTTTGGCCCAGTGGTTAGAGCATCGGCCCACAGACCAGAGAGTCCCGGGTTCAGTTCCCACTGGGGGCACATACCTCGGTTGCGGTTTGTCCCCGGCCCCGTTTGGGGACATGTGAGTGGTGGCCAGTCGATGTCTCTCTCTCACATTGATGTTTCTCTCTCTTCCTCCCTCTCTCCTTCCTGCTCTATCTGAAGATAAATGCAAGAATGTCCTCGGGTGAGGGTAAAAACAAACCAACAAACAAAAACAGAACCCCCAGTTCTCCCAATGCAGAGATCACGTTAAGTGGCCTGCATAGTCCACATGCCCCCAGCAGTGCCCTCCAGGCTCTCTGTCTGGTGATTTTGATTTGGTCTCATCGAAACCACTAGAAAATCACCTTACCCTAGGAAAGTAGTGGTGACAGAGTGTGGGGCGGAAAAGCCACGCAGGACCTCACTCCGCCAGGCGGGGAGTGACGCGCAGCCCAGACCCCGGGGGCCCGCCTGGCTCCCCTGTGCCCTTGGTTCTGGGAAACCCTCCACAGGCACATCCTGAGTCCCTGCTTTCTGTCACTTTTACTGAGAATAGTAAGATAGTTGCTAATACAAATGCAAAAGCCAAGTGGGTATGTTTGAGGGTTTGAAATGTAATCTGGCATAATTGCAGCAGTTTTAATCTCCACAGTATTATTTCCGAATAAGATGAGTCTTGGGTACACTTAAGGGTGTACCCTGCCTGGATGCCATGCCCCTATATTAAACCAAATGACTGAGTTCTTCACCACTGGCACAAAATCTGCATACCACGAGAATCTTTGTTATTTAAGTGGAGTCAATGAGGTCATCATTGAGTTTTGCTAAAATACTTCCAAAGTGGGAAAATCCAATATAATGTTAATTGTTTGGAGTATTATATTTGAGGACAGTGTCCTCTAGAAATGGCTCTATAATTACAGGTTGTGTCACATTGAAGATGGTAACAGGAGGAACGAGATGTCTCCTGGGAGCTGTTGGGCTGATAAACGCTTTAGTGCCACATCTGCTGCGGGGTGTGAAGTGGCTGGGGCAGCCCTGGACCACGGGGCCGAAATGTGCTTCTCTTGTTCTTTGGGAAAAGCCTCCCTCTCTTCAGATCACCTGCGTGTCCACACGTGAGACTGTGAGACGGTGTTGAATGTGAGTAGCCGGCCCTCGTTGGTCATGTGGCTGTCGCAGTCCTCTGGGATGGGCCTGCATGTCTGGTGCAGTTCAGTCCAAGTCTTTTAGCTTGTTCCAGCCTGAGGTCTTTCTTCTCCGTGCGCTTTGCAACCCTCCTGCGGTGTGTCTCTGTCCATTACAACTGGATTTTGAAACAAGGGGACAAGAGTGCAGATTCAGGTCGGTATAAATACGGTCAAGTGTTCAGACATTTTCAGCTGATTGGCTTCTTGGTGTATAATGTCTTTGCATTGTGCTTCAGTATATATCATTACTATGGATCAAATGTCATCATGAGTGAAAACCTCAGTTAGGTAGCGTTCACTTTGCAGGAGTGTTTACTCTGCCAATTTAAAATAGAAAATTAAAACCAGAATGCAGCCTAGCTGGGGTGGGTCAGTGGTTGAGCGTCGACCCATGCACGAAGAGGTAGCCACTTCGATTCCTGGTCAGGGCACATGCCCAGGTTGTAGGCCTGATCCCCAGTAGGGGGCATGAAGGAGGCGGCCAATCTATGTTCTCTCTCATCGACATTTCTATCTTTCTCTCTCCCTTTCCCTTCCTCTCTCTCTAAAATCAATAAAGAAAAACTACAAATAGAAGGCATTATAGATTCTGCCCTAAAGTAAGCATCCCCCTTTACTTCCAAAGATGTGTTCCTAATAAGA